TAATTAGCGGACCGAGGCGGGCGCCGACCCAGCGCTCTCCCCGCGGCCGCCCCGGGTCAGCACGGCCCAGCACGCCTGCTCAAGGCCGGAGCCCACCTCTCCGAGAAGGACGGGGCAGCCGACGCAGGCGCGCCCTCCCGGGGCTGAGGCAGGACCTGCTTCCGGCGCTGGCCCAGGGAGGGGGGCAGGTGGACTTCCAGGGTGCCGGGGCTCCTCAAAGCTGCGGCCGCCACCTCCTGCCGGACCCTCAGGAGATCTGGGGCAGGAAGGCAACAGCAGTGAGTCAGGGGCCTCCCCCATGCTGGTCAGCGGGGCTGGGGGCCTCTCCCGGGTGCCCCAGCCATGCTGTCTCTGGGGTTGGAGAAAGAGCAGCCCTAGGGTAGGGAAGATGGACCTAGGTAAGCTGGAGGAGGAGGAGGAGAAGGAGGAGGAGGAGGGAAGGCCCCGAGGCCAGAAGCCAACTGGAGTTTGCTAAGGCTGAGTTTGTCTGAGTAGGAAAGAGTTGTGCAAAGTCCAAGAATGAGGGTACAAGCCAGGTCCCGGACGTCCCTGGAATGAGTCCAGGAGTGGGGAGTGAGTCTCAAACCTGGGGCTGCCCAGGTGACAGGAAGATTTGATACCCTGTCACGCAAGTGCAGCTGAGCACGTATTAGCCCCATCAAGCACGGCTGGCGGCGGGTGGCGCACGGTCTCTGTCCAGCATGAACACCCGACACAGTGAGTACAGTGGTGCAGATGCAGGAGACAGCATGCAAACGGTGCTCAACCTCTAACTCCCCCAGAGCAGGCCTGTCTCCACAACCCCTAACTCAGCCTGTTTATAAATTAATTACCAGAAAGGCAGAGGTGGGCCTGCCCGCCTCCAGGAGCCAGCCAGAAGAGCCCAGCCAGCTCAGCCAGCTCAGCCACGGCCACGTCGATCCACAGGGCCTGTGGCCCCATCTGCCCACTCGGTGTGGCTCTGAGCAGCGGTGATTGACAGTTTGCTCCCTTTGCTTTCTTGGCCCTCCCCCTGCACAGGCCAGCAGAGCCTGCCCCAGGCAGGGCAGGGAAAGCAATTAAAAAGGAAGATCTTTTTAAATTATTAACATTTGGTGAATTATTCAGGCTCTTGGTGCCTGAGGTACCCTTAGGGACCTTGCCTTGTGCAAGGAGAAGGAAATCTTGCGCTGTTCCTGGTGCCCTCCAGCCAGCCAGCAAACCCAAGCTCCCCTGGCAGAGCTGGTGGGCCCAGGCCAGAGTGTCGCTGGACAGGGTGTCAGCTGTGCCTGGGGGCAGTGATGACCAAGTGGACAGAATGGAGCACAAGTTGGAGAGGAGAGGGGGCCCGGCAAAGGGAAGCAGCTTCCAAGATGGCCACATTCCAGCTACCATTTGGCCCTGCCCTTCTGAGCTGCCTTATCCCTGATCCCCACCCCCAAATCCCCTAGCTGTGAGAGTCTGACCAAGTCAGTGTCCAGGGACTTGGGTCCTACACTGCTGTGGGGGTGAGGAGGACTAGGCGTGGAGGCCTATTAAAACTGCAACCTCCCACCTTTACCTGGTGGATGGAATGGGTGAAGCCCTTGTAGATAAGGGCAGGGGTCCTGAAAGAACCTTCTCCCCCACCCACAGGGGCTGGGAGCCTATGGATAAAATCCAGTGTGGTCCTGGTTTCAGCTCTCAAACTACCAGGGCCTCTTCTGGGGTATCCCAGTGTGTAGGTGGAGAGGGGACTGAGGGGCACATACCATGACTGGGGAGACCCAAGTGGTAGAGGCGCTGAGGGTCCTCAAAGGGACTAGCCTCACTCAGGGCTGACACAAGCCGGCGGTAGTGGTCCTCGGGGGCCATGCTGGGCCCCAGGTCCGGGAGCAGCAGAGTCTCTGTGTTGGGGGAGCACAGTGGGTAAGGCTGTGAGGGGATTCTCCTTCAGAAGTGCGGAGAGGAGGGGCAGGGGCTTCTCTTAGAACCCCTGTCCATGTTCCAGGGAGCTGTCTGGGACTAAGGTGTCTCTCCCCTTCCAGGTCCCTGCCCCCCACCGTGGGGTCAAGCTCCCACCTTGGGGGGACTCACTTCGGGCCTTCTTCTCTGAAGAACAGTCGCTGGTGATAAAGGGTGAGCAACCCAGCCTCTTGCCTAACAGGTCACCTGTAGAGAATGAAGTGAGTGTCACCAGAAGCTGAAGGCTGATGGAGAGCAGCTTCTCCTGCCTTCGCTCAGCCTGGGACCTCGGATAGCACCACTCAATAGGATAGCACCACTCAATAGTGCCCTCGCTTCTAGTAAGTAGTTATGGCCTTGCCCAACCTAGGACCCCAGGCCTTTTGCTGGTATGTCCAGCTGGCCAAGGATATAGCAGGGCAGATGTGAGAGAGCACATGGTGAGGGCACATCTCATACATCACCCTCCCCCCCCCACTTTTGAGTCCTCCCAACCCTGGCACCAGAGGCCCAGGTCTCCCTCAGAGTCCCCCGACTCTGCTACACCTGCCCAGCCAAGCCAACCCTAACCCCAAGCAGGTCATCTGCTATGCACAGCCTTACATGCGGTCACCAGAGCGGGCCCATCTCCCACATGTCCTCTCTAGGGTCCACAGGTCACAGTTTCACACCCCAAACTACCCATAACACCTATCTCTAGCTCAGGACCAAACTCTGCCACTTCATCTCTCCTGAGCTCCTGACCGTAAGGCTTGCATCTCTGCTGAATGTTGCTGTTTCTACTGCTTATTTTCACAGCTTCATCTTCATTGGTAGAGGGCAGTAAGAGGCTGCCCCTTGAATGACCCAAACCCTCCATGACACTTTGGCAAATGGGGCTTCCAAAACTATGGTCCCCAAAGCTGGCTCCAGAGCCTAATTCCTTTTCTTACTCCTTTAATCTGTCATTTTTATCAGACTGGGGGAAGTGTGTGGCGAGAGCTCCGATCAATCTCCACATTACAACTGACAGAATGGTGCTAATAACTTATTGATCCAAGCCACCTTGCTGCTACCAGGCTGAACAGCCAGCCCAGGCTCTGTCCTAAAAAAGAGGGTCAGTCCCCACTGCTTGGATGGATTAGAGCAGATATACCCAGAAGATGGATAGCAGTCATTGTCTTCAGGGGCCGCTTGGGTAAGAGGCAGCATGTCAGAGCCCAGCAGGTACGAGAGGTGGCACCTGAGCTGGGAACCCTTCCCACAACACGCCCTTTAGGTGAGAGGTCTCTGAGCATAGCAGACTCCCCATTTCAATAGTGGGAATACATGTCCCTCTTCTGTACCTCATCTCCACTCCTGGGACGCTGGAGTCAGTCTGGGAAAGGTGATCTAGTGTGAGGGCACCGCATAGGAGACCCAGCCCCATGACCCCCTTGCACTCAGGGATACCACCAAGGAGCCAGCCACAAGAAATAGTCAAGTGTGCCCAAGGCCAGATGTGCAAGTCACAACAAAGACTCTGAGCTCCTTGTGTCTGAATCTCTTTAGACCCTCCTTGCCCAGTGGTGAAATGTTTTCTGGCCCAAAGTGTCCATTGCACATAAAGATACCCCCCCCCCCAACACACCAGGAGGCCCTCACTGGGGTAAGACCCTGAGGTCTTCGTGTGTGTGTGAACACATGCAGTTGTGTACTGCTGTGTGAACCCTGCACATGTTGTAAAGAGGGACAAAGGCCTGGCCAGCTGAAGGAGCACCTGGTGGGGAGCTGCATGTATGGGGTGGCCATAAGCCTCAGGATGCACAAGCATATGCCTGCACACTCAGGAGTGCTTGTGTCCTGGAGATCTCCAGGGAAGGAATGGGGGAGGGCCTGCGGGCTCAGAACAGCTCAATCATGGTGGGACTTCCGTACTCGGTGATCAATGGACAATTCGATTTTATCAGCTGCCTGCTTAGTGCCTCCTTTATCCCAGCCTTTCAGGTTTATGGGGCTATGATGGGGATTGCTCAGGGCAAGGAGCCCTGCTCACCCAGCCCTCCTGAGCACTGTAGCCATAGAGTGAAATCTCACAACAGAAATCCTCTAAGGCCTCTGAGACTCAGCCGTGTATACGTACTGCAGCTCCACTGCCCACTCAGGGGAGGCTATGGTCCCGGATTGCTCTGCTCCTAGCGCCTGTGAGCTTGTAGGAGCTAGCTTTCTTGGTGGTCTTGGAAGCCCCTGGATCAGTTGCCTCCCCTGCAAACAGGTTCAGGACCCCAAGGAGACAAGACCAGGACTGGGCATGCTGTGAGTGTGTGTGTGTGTGAGAGAGAGAGAGAGAGAAAGGGGTGGGGAGGGAGAGAGAGAGGGAGAGAAAGAGAGGGAGAGGGAGAGAAAAAGGGAGAGGGAGAGAGAGCGAACATGTTCCTGCCTCTCGGAGGCACTCTGGGTTGGGCATTTCTGAGCTCTCTGTCCCTGTGAGGAGAGGCTTGTAGGCCTGAACTATTCCAAAGCCCTCTCCAACAGCCACAGGGAAGCTCCCTCCTCTTCAACTGTCTGAGTCTGTTGGACTGGCTGGGATTAACACAATTACTATCACATGGAGCCCAGGGGGACAGCTGGCCTCCCACCTCCCACCTCCTTTGCTGCCTTCCTGGCTGCCTGCCAAGGAAGCCAGAGTTGCTGAGCAGACTCAAGGAGGGAGGGCTGAGCTGCTGTGGCTCTGCAGCCGCACACTCACCCTAGGGAATCCCAGCTCCTCACCTGTGGGTCCCAGGCCAAGCTCCACACTGCCTCTCTGGAAGTCACAGCGGCTGGGATGCTCAGGCATAACGAGGTGACGGCTTCGATGTACACTGGATATGAGGGTGGGAAGATTGCTGTCCTGACTGTAGCAGAGCAAGACAGGCCAGACCGTGAGCACCAACATGTGCCATGAACCTGGCCCAGCAACTGCCCGACCTGCGTGAGCATAAGGTGTACAGCCTGAGAGCAGTGTGCACATGTGTCATGCTACCTGAGCACACTTGTACATGAGTCGTCTGAAGCTACACATGTGCACATGCGACCAGCAGACCAAAGTGAAGCTCCCAGCTGCCAGCAGAACCAGGGTGATCCCTCCCAGCATGCCCTCTGCCCTACTCTCGGCCTCCCTGGTGGCCAGGTATCCTGTCTGCTGCAGGACAAGCACAGAGAGCACAAGTTGTCATATACATGTTGTCAGATCCTGAGGTAAGAATGTGGCAAAACCTGTTTGGCTAAAACTTGCAATCACCTCCCAGACCCTATTTTCTTTTAAATAAGAAAGCGAGTTCAAACCAAAGTTCTGCAACCAAAAAGACACATGCTCACACATGCAGCACTAACATAATGGTAACACACACACACACACACACACACACACACACTGCTCACACATGAAAGCAAGAACAGTTGACTAGTCGTGTGCTGCCATGCCCAGGACCCTGCTGTCCTGGGACTGTTAGGCCCCTTAGGCTTGGAATGAAAATGTATTTAACTTTGTTCCTTCAGTTTCTGTCCTTTCTGTTGAATTAGCTACATACCTTACCCAGATATGGAGAGGGAGCGAGGAGGTGGGATACCCTACCCCTGGGTTCTCTGAGCACCCGTGTCAGCAGAGAAGAGAGCAACAAGAAGCCAAAGCCAGGCCAGGGAAGACGCAGCTGTACCCAGCCTCCAGCCCCACCCTAACCCTTCCTAGCCCACCTGTCTTGGAGCAGCCTCTTCAGCAGCACATCACCTCTATTCAGTGACCCAGGAACAGACCCCTGAATCTCATTAAATAGCCCCTAGCCCCTAGCCAGGCTGCCTGGAGCTGGGCTAATCCAGGGCTGGCCCCTAAGCAGATCAGTTGCAGCAACAGCAGATAGTGCAGGGGGCCTTAGCCCCAAGACCAGAGACTCAGATGTGGCTTTCTCCCCACCCCTGTGTAGGTCTGCGGGCAGGTGGGGGAATAAGTACTTTATGGGATTAATAGGCACAGACGCTTATCCCCTCCATCCTCATAGATGCGGGGGTGTCAAGGAGAACTGCTGTCCTCAGCATGAGGCTGTGGGCTGGCCAGTCCGAAGGCTGCAACAGCTACAGTTGCTCCCCACCAAAAGCCCGTTCTAATGCCCCATGACACCAGGTGAGTCAGCATCCGTGGAAAAGTTTGTTCTCTGTGAACCTGTTCCAGCCTATAGGAGGAAGGTGAGGCCTTTCTACCCAAACCTGTGCCTGGACCTGTCATCGCTCTTCCAGACCCTCAGGGGCACGGGGCACTAGGGAGCCATGATTCTGTGTGAAAGAGGTCATCCAGGGGGGAACAGAACTTGCACTGGCCTCTGTATCCAGTGTCTGGGGGTTTTCCTCTCTCTCAGGCACTAACCAAGTGACCCAGCCTAAAAGCCTACTCTTGTCACCTGATTACCTGCTATTTTTTGCTAAGATTCATAAAGACACACTCTACCAGACGGAAAGCCCATGAACTCTGTCCTTGACATCAGAGTGGGGGTTCTGGAAGCCATAAACCATCCGCCATACATTATTGTATGCCAGGGGTGAAAGGTGCATGAGGGTCTTTGAGGGTCTCAGAAGGCTACAATGTGTGGGTATGGGGGTGTCAGGACAGAGCCAGCCAGCTGATGAGGACGCCAAGAGAAGGAGTTAGGGCTAGAGACCATGGCTCCTACTCACTGACAGCCAGAGAAGCTTCTGGGTGTTTATAGAGACCATTCTGCCAAAGGAGGAGGAGATTTGGAAGGAAGCAAGAGAATCTAGGGTCTCTGGCAGAAAGTCTACTGTAGGCCTAGGAAGAGATTCAGAGATGGACAAGATGAATGGATTGAGACAGGCAAACATAACAGTAGAAAATCACAAATTGACAGAGATGAGTACACAAACAGGAGTCTGCAGACAGGACAGGTGGACCAACTACAGGATGGGTCAGATGGCCTAGTGGGGGACTCAGGAGGCGCCCGGCTCTGGATGCCTGCGTTCCTTCCTGTCTGGGCAGATACTGAACCTGGGTAGCAGGTGTGTAGGCACCTGCCACTCCTCCCTAGCATGCTATACACACCTCCCAAGCTGTAATCTCCACATCTAAAGCGTCACTCTGGCCTTCAGGGCCTCTGGACAGGCCTGGCCTCTCTTAGGGGTGTCAGGCTACAGTGGTCAGCAGTATGACAGATGCTTAACAGGGCACAGGGCCTCTCCTCCAAGACGAGGTGGATGTGAGGAGGGGATAGAGCTCGTTGTTTAGGGAGGCACAGCCATTGGGTTATCTACGGGGCCCACTGACAATTTGTCCTGTAGCATCTGAAGTAAAAGGCTCATAAAATGTCATCAAGGTTCATGATGGTTCATAAAAATGATCAGTTGAGCTGGCAACTCCAAAATGAGGTAGAAATAAGTTTGAAGATTTTTTTTATTGTAATTCAACTGCAGGATCCAGACATTCTCAAAGACATCAATAATAACATATCTTGGGAAGCTAAAGATAAATTCACAGCGGTAGTCACCGGGAGGCTAGTCCTCCCCTAAGGCCATGTCCCCACCCCACTGGACCCTTCTTGCAGCATTCCCATCCACCCTACTGACCAGAAACCACAGCTGGGCTCTGCTAACAGACTGACCACCCCTACCCCCAGTAGCAGGAGCCTAAGTCCCCGAGCACTCTAACACTCCAGACTCCTTGTCATGCATATTCATTTTTCATGTTCTTGCTATATACTGACTACAGTAGTGGTTTTAAGTACAGGGTGGTTTTACCCCCCTGCTTCTTGCAGCCAGAATCCATTTTGTTTCTCAGAAAATTCCCAACCTGTGAGGCAGGTAGACCTCCAGACACATACCTGCTCAATTCCTTGCTCAAGAATTTTCTGTGGCTCTGCTGCCTGGAGAGCAAGGTCAAACAGGCTTAGAATCCAAGGCCTTTCAGTGGTCCAGACCTGCAGGATCACCTCCATCTTTCTGACATTCTCTTCTCTTACTCCTCTTTCAGAAACCTTCCTCCTTTGTTGAGTGAACTCCTAGATAGTAGCTTCATCTTTGCCCAGATGGGAATAAATAAACAGTCCCCTCTTCCTCTCCCTCTCCCCGCCCCCTCTGTGTATGTGTTGTACTCTGCCTTCAAAGTTGGCCTGCTCAGAACCCCTAGCTGTGTTGCTGCTGAAGCCTGAATCAAGTACAGTGTCTAAGATGGACACCTATCACCTGCTTCCCAGGCTGGGCAAGAAGCACACACAGCAAACCTGGCAGATACTTGGCCCACATCAGCTCATTTTGGCAGGGACAGTAGACAAGATAGGAGGCCATGGTCACAGGAAAGAGAACAGACAGCTGACCTGAGGATCTAGAAGTAGGTCCAAGGGAAGCAAAGCAATAGGCTCCTTATTACCAGTGCATGTGGGCAAAGCCCAGCTTACGTGGACTCCTACCTGCAGGATGTCTCTCGGAAGGAGATATTCACATCCCAGTGTGTGTGGACTCTGTGGGGAAAGAAGCAAAGGGTTAGGACGTCTCCATTACTGTGCCCAGGCAGCACAATGTGCACAACTGCGGAGCGTGATGGGCTGCTGTGGGGAAGTCCTTGGTGGCCAGGTCAGCCTACCTTACCTCCCGCCTTCCAGGCCAGAGGTAGGCCCTGGCTTTACCAAGCATAGCTCTGGCCCCTGTTTCCTTTGGTACACTCAGAGTTAATGCTGCACCAGGAGTTGGGAGGCTTCCTCCATACAGTGTTCAACTGAAACCAAATTCCTAGTTGCAAAAGCTACTTTAGGACCAAACCCTAAAGCAGCAGCCACCCGTAGGAGACTTGGAGCAGACGCCCAGGTGGCTGCAGGCTAACGGGCCCCTGTCATATTCCTGCACACGAAACACCCACAGGGGAGGATGACACCAGGGCCAGGCGCTCCTGTCTGCACCCTTCGGACCCACAGCAGCAGCTCCAGAAGGCCCTGGCGCTGATGCCCCACTTGACCTTTTGGCCTGGCCACCAAAGCTCAAGTACCTTCTCCTCATGATAGGAATGTGTGAGTCGTCCTCCTGCTTCAAGCCTCGCTGCCGCCCGCCGGTTGGACTTCTTCCATCGCTGTCACCATCACTGGTCGAAAAGCTGAGGGTCGGCTCCTGCTTCAGGGCACTTGCTACAGGCAAGGCACCTGTCCTCTTGTCTGCCAGCCGTCCCCGATTCTGGGCATTTAGAAAGAGGAGGGTTGGGGTGGGCCAGGCCCTCAGCTTCCTAGTCTGGGCCAAGGTTCAGGGGTCACATTGCTGCAGACCAGCCTATGAGAAAGTGTGGTGGGGGCTCTGCCCAGCTCTACCCTGCAAGCTCAGCTTTAACAAGTGGCAGATTCCACCTTCTTGGCTCCAAGGATCTCCCCCATCCCAAACTCCCTTCTTGGTCCTGACTCTGCTGGGGGTCTGTGTATACAGCTGGAGGCAGGCTGGTCCTGGTGAATGCATGTCAGCTTTCAAGATCCTGGGTTGTCCTGGGCACTGGGGGCTCACGCCTGTTATCCTAGCTACTCAGGAGGCTGAGATCTGAGGATTATGGTTTGAAGCCATCTGGGTGGGGAAGTCTGTGAGACTCTCATCTCCAATGAGGCACCAAACAAAGTTGGAAATGGATCTGTGGTTCAAGTGGTAGAATGCTAGCTTTGAACAGAAAAGCTCAGGGATAGCACCTAAATCCTTGAGTTCAAGCCCCAGGACCACCTCACCCCGGCCCCAGCCCTCCCCACACATACACAAAAAAAGAACTGTGTTGTACCTGCAATCTTGACACATTCTATCAGTCATCAGAATAGGCACAAAACGGACACATCAATGAATAAAGTCCTTTTCCCCTCCGCCAGTGCTGGGGGGTAAACCCGGGGTCCCTTCGCCACCGGAGTCCCTCCGCCAGTGCTGGGGGGTAAACCCGGGGTCCCTCCGCCACCGGGGTCCCTCCGCCAGTGCTGGGGGGTAACCCGGGGTCCCTCCGCCAGTGCTGGGGGGTAAACCCGGGGTCCCTCCGCCAGTGCTGGGGGGTAAACCCGGGGTCCCTCCGCCAGTGCTGGGGTCCCTCCGCCAGTGCTGGGGGGTAACCCGGGGTCCCTCCGCCAGTGCTGGGGGGTAAACCCGGGGTCCCTCCGCCAGTGCTGGGGGGTAAACCCGGGGTCCCTCCGCCAGTGCTGGGGGGTAAACCCGGGGTCCCAAGCATGTTAGGTAAGCGCTGTGCCACCAGGTTAGGACCTCAGCCCTTTTTTTCTATTTTGTTTGTGACACGCAGAGCCCAGTTCAAGGGGAGTCTAAGGCTGGGGATAGTTGAAACTGGTGGCAGCATGAGCTCTGGTCCCTGGAAAAGGCAGGGCTAGTGTTCCTACGTCACACTGGACAGGGTTTTTCACAAGGCTCTTTCCCCTGCCGCCCTGCACCCACCACTATCAGTGTGTGTTGAGCTGTGGGGCCCTCAAGCTGGGGACTCTACATGGGTGTGTACACACATACACCATGGACCACATGCTTAGCACTGCAGAGCATCGTGAATATGTGCCCTGCCCCCGATCCTTTCTTGGGTCTTCCTGGGTGTTTGGGTCCCTTTTCCCCCTAAGAGAAAGAAGGAAAGTCATTGATTATATTCTGGTGGGCAGAAGGCTTTTTCTTATTTGAATGAGGCTGCTGGCTTGAGAGTATCTAATTTCCTTTCATTTGTCTGGTCTCCAGGTCTCCTCATATATTCTCCATCTTGCATTGCCAGAAGGACAGGGCCTCGCCTCACCCATGAACTTGAGGAACAAGGGAGCAGGGTGGGTCCCAACCCCTAAGTCTCCTAGGGCAGGATAGTATGTGCAGCATACGGACCAGGTATCTCTTTAGACACAGAGTAGCCATTACCTCCAGATGCAAAGCAATGTATCATTCTGTGCACTGGCAGCAAAGGTCTACCTTACCTGCCCTCAGAAATATGCTGAAGCCTGGCTGCCCACCCAGGAAACACTCCATTGTCCGCTGCCGGAATCGGTGAGACAGAACCCCTGAGCTACATGCACACCTACATTCTTCTAGAGTGCCCGTGACATAGACACACACACCTATGGGTCTGGCCACGGAGGTAGGAAAGTATGGAGATGTCCCCAAGGAGGGACAAGGTTCGGGAGAGGCAGACCCAAGTCTGACTTGTCTGAAGTGTGGAGACCCCTGGTCAGGCAGGGCAGGGGTGGGGGCTCCCCCTGTCTGAACTGCAGATTCTCCACTGGGGGTAGGAGGAACGCTGATATTGGGTGTTCAATGGTGGGCCTTGAGGAGCAGCCAGGCCCCAGCGAGCTCAGCCTGTGGCACCCCAGCCCGCTCTGGCCATGGCCTTCAAAGCCCACAAGGAACCCAGGACAATACCACCAGCCGAACAAAACAAGCCCAAGGTGACCATCTGTGTCCTCCCAGGTCCACTTGAGCACCTGTGTTCCTGCCCCTTCCTGTAGAAGAGAAGCTGGGTGGAGCCAGGAACAGCAACTCAGCTTGACCACAGCTGGCACATGCTGGCTCCCTCCCCCTCCAACAGGCTGGGAGCTTGGTGCCTCTAGCTCAGTCCTGACTCCCTGCCTTGGGGGCATGCATACTACTCCTCAGTCATTCCTGCTCTCTCAGATACCGGTAGTTTGTCCATCTTGGGTGGGGGCCTCCAGCCAGCTGCCCACTATCTTGACATACACCTTACAAAGACCCTGACTCTGACCCAGCTTGGTGTTAACAGGACACTTAGACACTCAGACCTTTGTCACCAGGCAAGACTCCGGCCTTCACTGCCTCAGAAACACAAGTCACTCATGTTCAAGCATGGAACTATCCCAGAATGCAATCAGGCCAGACAGCATCGTCACATCCCAGGATGTGCCCAACACCAGAATCAGCAGATAGGCAAATGACTTGGTGATCTGCAAACCTGAGCCCAGGGAATCGCTAAGCCCAAATTAGGTGATATTATTCAGATAAAGACTCCTGCAGTGTTTCTAGGACTTGAGAAGAAGCAGATATCAATATAATGTTTGTGTGTGAGTGTGCCAGAGCTCTTGCTCTCGCCGGTGGTACAGAATAGAATAGTCAGGCCCCACCCTGAACCCAACCCAAGAGAGGCCCTGGCACCTGGACCCGCTTCCCCTTCCCAGCACAAGCACAAGCACTGGCCACACTGGCTTCCGGAGGGTGCCTCCAGCGTCCCTGCAGGGTTGGTAGCTGGAGCTCCCCAAGAGAGAACACGGGCACACAGCCCCACAAGGTAGGTGCAGCCCACTAGCCCCAGTTTATCTCCTCTCTCACCACTGGCGAAGATATTCGGCAGCCTGGACAGTCGCAGATCGGGGGGTGCACCTGCAGGATCCCCTTGGACATAAGCGTCTTCAGACTTTTCCCTGCCAGGAGAGCACGCAGAGCCGGTGAGCGGGCAGCCCGGCCAGGCCGCGCTGGCGCGCGCAGCGGCTTCCGCGGCGGAGTCCCCGCAGCGCCGGCAGGTGCGTGACATCCACG